ATGTATGTTTGTATGTATGTATGGATGTATGTATGTATGTTTGTATGTATGTATGTATGGATGGATGTATGTATGTATGTACTGTATGAATGTATGTATGTATGTATGTATGTACTTTATGAATGGATGTATGGATGTATGGATGGATAGATGCTAAATATTCAAAACCTGTAGAATAAACATGTCAACATCAAGGTTCACAACTTCACTCATATAATTTCATAACTAGCATTCGTTATCACATCTTTTTAGGCTTATGACTCCTTTAGCTTTTTCTTAGCTTTCAAACATGGGCAGCTTTTGCACATCTTTTTCTAGTAAGTTTAACATTTTAGCACATTTTCCAACTCTAGTTTAATGCTCCAAATGTTTATAACTCAAATCTCAGTTTATCGTGATATATTTATTAACTCAGCTGTCTACAGATTGGATTAGGCCAGACGAGGAGTGGCCAAGGGCTATCATTTCACCTCTTTCATGTACACAACTATAGCTCGGATCACAGTGGGGCGACTTGACACACCTATCTGCATTCTTTACTTTACAAATCTGGGCATAAATACCAATACATCATTATTGCCTGACTTCTCTATCCTTTTTGGCTCTTGCACTGATGTCAACATTGTTGACATAGTCACTTCAGCTGTTTCTGTAGAAAAACAAACACATGTTGTGGTTAGTGGCACAAATTTATCTTACTTTTTTTTATAGACATATTACCAGTGATATGGAACAAAAAGTGAATAGATTATGTTATTAACCTGTCCTTAATGAGTTTTTGCAATGAATTTCTTTAGTAAGTATGAGCCTACAGTTGATGTGTATAAAACTACACCAACATAAAACCTGCTGGGATAAAATACAAAAATCTCTAAATGTTCATAAAACAACAGGTCATTGCCTGACACCTGTTATTCTCATACAAGTCAACATGCCTGTGTCTATGGGACATGCTAAATCAGCTATTCACTGAGACCTGGAAGTGTTTCCTCATAAAGTTTGGGTTTTCATAAAGAAGAGTTATGAATTGTTATGAATTATTTCATGTCTGTTGCTATCTGAGTTCTGCAATTGTGACTGCTACCAGAGTAATTTATCATTAAGAGAGGTTTTGTGTGAAACCCTTCTTTAAAGTCTCCCAGTGAGTGTGTCGCTCACAGTACATGAGTTATTATCCCAACTGATGTCGCCACATCTGCAGGAGGGATGCATTTGTTGCTAGGCAACAGTCGGAGCATGCAACATGCTAGCTCCAGTCCAAATTCGATGCTTGCTTTTTGTGTGCGCTTATTGTGCCTCAAATATGATAAAATGATGCAAAATTCAGTTGAGGTACTAAATGTTCCCAGGAGCACCTGCCTAATTAGTTTTTTTTTTTTTTTACTTTGTAATCTTCATAACTGAACAGTAAAGCATACAAATTATTCCAATTATCTAAGATTTCATTCACTTCATTAGCATTTGTTGTTAATAAAATCTGTACTCATGAACTCAAAGGTGCCCCTTACTTTAAAATCCTCTTGATGATTGTGTTTACTTTTTAAAAAGCACTAGAATTTTTTTTTTTTTTTTTTTTTTTTTTGTATTCGATTTCTAACAATGCCTCTAAAAATCAGGAAATTGACAAACCAAGCTTGGTGCACATGCAGAAACGCTGTTCTTAATTCAAAACTTCAAGGACCTAAATAACACCTAATCGCAGTTTTAGAGGAAACTGAGGGCCGAAACAGATGAGTGAAAGGAGCCATGCGAGTGAGGTAAAAGCTTTGTTTTGCAGCAAATGTTTTCATGAAGGGGCTGAAGAAGGGGGGGTAGAACTGATATTTAAGCCCCTACTGGCTTTTTTTCCCCTGCTTTTGTTTTATGCAGGGCTCTTTTTACCACATGGTAGTGACAGATTGTTTGAGCTGAAAGGAAAAGCCATTCGAAGCTAATTAAGCAGCCATTCCAGGCACTGTTCGCAGGCAGGAGGGAGAGTAGCACAGGCATTTGTCAGCGCCGTACCCAACGTGGGTTTAATTGACAACCGGAACCCATGACTGACAGCGCTTCCTGTGTTCAGCCAATAGGATGCCGCGCAGTAGAAAGCTACGACATCATTGGATAGAAAACAGCAAGGCGGGCGGAGGCGGCCCCACGTGGGGCAAGTACAGTGAGTAACACGTGATAGGCTGATACGCCGACGTGTTGTAGCCTACGTATTGATGCTGATAGGAAAGCTTGTAGACGCTTGAGGTCTCGTTAGAAATAGGTCGATCAATTCAAGTCACTCACAGGACTCTACTGTGGAAGGTTTTATCTTCTCAGTGTTTGGAGTTTGTAATGAATTTCAGCGTTCCTGTGTTATTTTGAGCTTGGTAATGAGAGGTACTTCTTTTTCTTGGCAACTCGTCTTTTTCAGTTAAATGCGGAAATATGATCTCAGGTGATCAAGGCTTTAAAGTCGTTTTAGGATCGTATTAGCTTCAGTTAAAAATTGTTTATACAAACAGCACATTGCACAGTTTTAAGGGTAGCATTGTTAATTGTGTTTTAATAAAGTCGTGGATTTGGACAGAATTTGATAGACATTCGTAGGATAGAAGTCGCTGGCTGGCAACACGCGACAAACATATATTATTGTTTTGAATAAGTTGTTGAAAAGAAAAGAATCACTTCGCATCCAAAATGGCGACCGTGTGAAGTCACACATTACCGCCCAATCAGAACGCTTGTTTTGTAAACCACCCCACGTGGGGACCGCGTTCTGTGATTGGCTGCCTACGCCGAGCTCCTTCGGAGAGCCTGATTGGCTCCTTCACAGCCCTCTTTCGGCAGTGAGGTCCTCGTGCTAGTGCACAGTCTGTGTGTGGTACGGCGCGCGGCTGAGGAACTGAGCACCCAACGGCAAGCTAGCAGTGTACTTCGCAACGGTCGACATTTTTTTTTTTTTCTACAAAAATAACTGGTTTACGCGCTAATTTTTTAATACCGGGACTGGCCGGAAGATTCTCGCACTGCCACTGGATGTAAGAGAAGCTTTTGTTTTCTAACTTGTTCGTCGGTTAACAACTCGTCGGGCTCCGAGGGTTTTCAGCGTCCGACGGAGAGACGCTCTCCGCCTCTGAATCACCGGGCTTTAAAGGACTCTCAAGGGGCCAAAGAAGACGTCGTGTATTAAAAAAAAAAAAAGAAAGAACCCCGCAAACGACGGCAGACGTTTTCTCGCCCAGGTCGTACCTTCCCAAGGATATTAAGCGTTGTGTGTGGATTTATTTACCACCTGTGCTGAGAAGGGGAGGAATCTGTCGAGACAAAGGTAAAAAGGGCGACACTAACGAGGCGGGTGGTGGCGTGGCTTCATGGGAAGCTGACTTTGAACGCAGCACCTTCTTGTTTTTGATCTCTCCGGACCTTCAAAACACCCACGAGTGTTTTTTTTTTTTTTTCCTCGTTATGGAAACGATCTCATTAGATGCAGACGCGATAAAAAAAAAAAAAAAAAGCATCGTGTCGTAGCGGGTGATGTGAGAAGTGAAAACTTTGGGATTTATTTGATAAATGAGCTAAACTCACTTCTGTTCTGTGGCTCGCTGTAATGCAAACACGCATCAAAGATTAGGAATAAGTTGGGAAAATATTAGATTTTTTTTTATTATTATTAGACTTTCGACCTCAGTTATTCTAAAGCTTTTTGTTCTGGCTTGTGTTTACTTGATTTAGCTCCTCAAAGTGCTGCTTTTTCTGTTTGTTTAGGTCCACAGAGAGGAGGAGGAGGAGGAGGAGGTGATACATCTACTGCTCGGGGTTTTATAGAGCGCCTAAAGCCGAGAAAGGGCTTTGTTTGTCCGCCGCCATCCTGCTTATACTGGGGAGGGGGTGGCGGTGATTTACCGCACCTTCTCTGGGATTACCGTAAAGAAAGCGGGGAGGGGAAGAAAAAAACACCACATTGATTCCCTTGTGCAAAGAACTCAACATGTATCCACAAGGCCGGCATCCGGTAAGTAGCTCTTTTGGCACTGTTTGTAAATTGATGCAAATAAACCACCCTTCAAAGTAACTTCATTAGCTCTGAATGGAGCTGCTGATCCACACCTTGCTATTTGTAATGCTTTGAGTCGTTTCACATGGTGGGCGGGAGAGAAGCTAGATGTTTATTAGCAACAATGTTGCTCATAAGTGGCTTTCTTAGCACATTTTGTTCAGTTTTCAACAGCTTGAAAGGGCCACTTGTGCACCAAAACCAACAATAGTCATCATGCAACATAACTGTGCGGATGGAAAAAAAAGTGGCAAACCTTAGATTTAAGTCGTGTTGATGAGTAAAAGCTGTCCTGTTATGGCTCCAAAGACATGAGAGGACAAACCGCCGGGAGATGAATCTAGATTTGCAGAGAAAAACAAGGAAGGTGGTGAGAGGGAGATGAGATGATAATGATCATGTTATTTCCACTTGTGGTAATTGCACTGTTGCCCTCTTCAGGCACCCCACCAGCCAGGCCAACCAGGCTTCAAGTTCACAGTTGCAGAGTCCTGCGATAGGATCAAAGACGAGTTTCAGTTCCTGCAGGCCCAGTACCACAGGTAATGACTGTTGGACTGTACACGGCATTGGCTTCCTGGAAACAATAAGACGAGGAACCTGCTACTGTTTTTGGTTTGTGCTGCAAGTCGATATTCAGCCTTCAGAACCAATGCTTTATCAGACGAAACGTGCTCGACATGTGTTTAAGTTATATGCTCCGTCAGGTTGTTTGCTTTCCAAATCTTGACGGTCTTGCTTGTATAGATAACATCATTTGTCTCTCTTTCCTCCTCCTTCAAGTCTTAAAGTGGAGTATGATAAACTGGCCAATGAAAAGACAGAAATGCAGCGTCACTACGTCATGGTAAGTGTAAGAATTGTAAAGCTATGATGATGATTTAACACCCTACCCACCCTTTTGCCTCAGGTGAACAGTCACAGGTGGTTCAACGCAATTGTTTTTCAAAGATCTTGTTAGATCGTTGACGCACACTCGTGTTTTCATTGGATAAAAAGGTGCCGGGTGGGGGTGAGCAGAGGGGCAGCTGAAATTGTAGCCGAGGTCAAATGTCCACCTATTGATTATGGGGAGTGTCGACCCCCAACCCCCATCTGTGGCTCCTCTCTGTGACCCTTTCCCACTCCCACCATAGCACACCCAACTTGACCCCACCAGGAGTTAATGTCAGCTCTGCTGGTTTTTTGTGCTCGAATCAGTGGGTTTCCTGTGTGTGTTTTCTGTTTATAGTTCTAATAAAATCCAGTCCACAAAGTGAAACTTGTGTCGCTGCCACAGCTTTCTCAGACTCTGAGTCGGTTTGTGTTCTGCTGCTGATTAGTTCACAAGTGGAGCGCTCTTAAGTACATGTCCAGAGAGCTGGCTTCTTAAATGCTTCACCACATGGGTACTGAGTGACCTCTTGTGATCAGGTTTCAGTTAATAACGCTACATGCAAATAAACACACAGCCTTTTAAGACAGTCACATACTGAGCAGATCAACATTTTTGGGCCAACTCTCCTGTGAAGCCTTCTGGTATTCCAACAAAGCTCTTTCAGTAACACGGGTCTCACCATTCTTGTTCAAGTTGAACGTTTAAAATCCCCCTAAAATTGTTTTATTTTTGAAGTTCTCCATCTATTCCTGTTGCATAGTTTTTAATTTGCAAGATTTTGGGCCAAAATTTGATATTGCACTTTTGTTTCTCAGGGAACACCTCTCACATTCTCTGGCAACTTACTATAAAGCAAGGCAACATATTGCGTGGTTATGCCTGCACAGCAAAACAACTATTGAGCCATTTAAAATTCAAGCACATTTGGTGTATGATTCCTCCATATTCTTTTCATTATTTTAATGAGAATGTAAGAACTGACACGAATACCTGATGGTTGTCAATGTGCTTTAAAGGGTTAAAAATAAAAGTATTTTAAAAACTGATACACTGCATTAGGTTCTGTTTGCTAGAGGCAAAGACACTTTTTTGTAAATACAATCCAGCTCCAAGGTTCGTTATCCTGTGTGTGTAGACAGCAGTTTCTAAATGAGAAGTGACACAATCAGCTTTGTGTATGAGCATGAGTTTCATGTTTGTGTGTTCAAAGAAATTTCTTCAACCAATTGTTGCAACTTGTAATAGACAGAAGGGTTGGGGGAGTGTCTGTAATCAGTGGAAGGTGTTGGGTTTGTGTTCAACAAACAAGACAAATGACTGCACTTCAGTTTTGGATCTATCGTCAGGTTTAGCATCAGCCAGAGATAGTATTGTGTTTCTTCTTGGATGAGATCATAGTTTGTGCTTATATAGGACGCCAAACAGATAAAAACGTGCGCCATGTTATTGTAGCAGAAAAAGTGTGTGCCATCCTTAACATTTCTGGTTAAAGTCATTGTGTGTGTGTTTTTTAAATTTTTTTTAATGACTAAACCCTTTTGAGACAAATCCAACTTGTTTTATGTTTGGGTGTTCTTAAGAGTGGTTTTCCCAGTCGTGTCCACAGATAGCTTCTGTGTTTGAATCTAATAAGCCTAGATTTATTTAGGATTTCTATTCAGATGTCTACGTGTAAATTATACCATTAAGGATAATCACCTGTCTTTAATAACTGAGATAATCTGTTGTGGTTTTGAAACTTCAGTTTAGTTTTTTTATTAAGTTTCTGCTTCTGTTTTTCAGTATTATGAGATGTCCTATGGGCTCAACATTGAGATGCACAAACAGGTATGTATCCATATCAGATGGTATGTGCGCAGTTGAAATAGTCATGTTTTTTTTTTCTTCCATACTGTCTTCGAAACATGAATGTATGCATGCATGCACACCTGACCTTAGTTCCTACTCATATCCTTGTAATGCCTTTAAGAGGCATGCACAAGCTGGCTCCCTGTAGTAAAAAACGCTGACAGGGTAAATAACAGTGAGGACACACTGCCTGATGGGGTGGTTTGATAAGATTAAAGTGAAGTATTTGGCAGGCAGTCTGAGAGTGTGTTTGTGAGTGATTTGTTCTTCTAAGTGTGTGTTTGTGTGCACATCCTGTACATGTCGGTGCTGTTTTGTCTGCATCCTTGTTGCCAGTGAGGCTAAGAGCTCATTAGTATATCTGCCACCCTGTGCTAGGTATCATGCAGATGAATAATGAGAATATGTCTACAGTTTGTTCTACACCACTGTGGAACTGGGTGGCAGAAATATTAAAATAATCAGAGCATTTCACTTTAATTTGAATATGGCTTCTCTCAGTTTGCAGTTGGTATTGTTTGGTTCCTCGTGTAAGGAGATTAGTTAAAGCTAACTTTAAATCCAACAATTATAAACCCAGCTCATGAGTCCTGATGCTGTTCTAATTGTTTTTAACTATTTATTATTTGTTTTAGTTGTCTTCTGTGCTAATTACGTGGTTCCACTTTAAAGCAGCTCTAGATGAGTGTGTGACTGCGAGGACTCTGCTTCTGATTAATTTTGAAAGCACACTGGTAATTATTAGGCACATTCCTGGCACTAAAACTGTCCTCGGGACAAACTGCATTTCATAACTTTGGTGTTCTTGTACTGGTTACTGAGACTGGCTACTGCATGATAACCTGATGTTTTTTTGTCTTATCTTGTTTACTTAATATTTGAAGAAGAAAAAAAACATTTATCTGCAAAGGACATGCACCATGCCTGATGTGATGAACATATCTAAAGCGATATCTAAAGGATTGTTGAGTTTACAACCCTTTTTCTGAACCACTGTGTTCTTGGTTGTCCTCAGGCTGTTTCTGTAAGTAGCAAGTTGGCCACCTGGCCTAGGACATTTGATTGTTGTACTTGATGATTGATTGTTTTGGATGGGTGTGTTCTGCAAGTGTTAAAAGCCTTGAGATTCCACAGGAGGTTGGCTTGAAACGTAGCAGTGAAGGCTACCTATGGGACAGATCTGGTGGGCAGGTTGCAGCCTGACGAAGTCCTCCGGATGGGGGCCGAAACGTTTCTCACTTAAAGAAACTGGTCCAGATGACATGCTTTACCAGTAACTATTTTTGTTGGTCTAAAGCAATGTTTTAGATGGTGAGGAAAAGACAAACTGAACAAGCAAGAGACAGAATTATCCCAACAGTTAATCAACTTTATCTTCCTGTAACAAGCTCACAGGAAATGAAAGTTACATAACCAAAGACGACTTGACTTGATTGCTGTTGGACTAATGATCAGCTCACCTGGCTTGTGCTGCGTCATTTTACTTGGTTTGATGTGTAAACCTGAGGGCTTATAGTCCCAGAAAGATGATTTCTGCAGCATTTTTAGCTGCAGGTTTAAAACTTAGAGGCTTTGTTTGTGAACTTGACATTTATGTTACAGCAGCAGGTAGGAAGTGAGGTTTCACATAAAACAATCCATATAAATGTTGTAAAAGTTAAACCCTAATACAACAATGTTCATAACATTATTCACACTGTTTTACACTCAAAATAGTGACTGTAATGTTCTGGAGCAAAATATTGCAGGATATGTTTTTATTCCCTGCTGTTAACTAGAGACTGAAACAAAAATGAACTTGTCTCATAAATGTCTCAGTCTTACAGCTTCACTGAGGGTGAATCTAGATATTTGTGCTCCTGTGGTGAACGCTTCTTATTGCACTTGTGATTACCGTTACCTCAGAGTTGAGATGCTTTAATCAGCCGTTCTGTAACTGAATTTGAGAGGCTCCACTTGGAATAATTCACCTCAGATAAACTCAGTTTGTTCAACTTCCTTTCAGGAATGCCACCTCTATAAACATGCCACATAAATTTCATAAAGTAAACAACAAAAATATTAGTTTGAGCTATATAGTATTAGATTAGTTGAATAATATGTTTTGCAGATGACACGCTTGTAAAATGTCAGAAGGTATTAACAGGTTAACAACTCTTCAGAGTTTATTTTAGTGTTTTACATCAAAAGTTATAACTAGTTGGCTGTGATCAAACATATAACTTTTAGGTTGGTTAAAAAATAGACTGGCAGATCTAAACCACACTGTTTTAAAAGAACCTTCTCTTTATTTAAACACATTCACAGATCAGTTCCATGTTGTTATAAAGTAACTTGGTTTTAGTCATTTGTACAAAATTTACAGAAGATTAATTCACTTTAATATTATTTCCAATTCCTTCATTTTTATCTCCATCTCCCATTTCCATATTTTTGTTTCAGGCATGCTCTTTTTGCTCTTGTTTTTTTTATTTTTATTTTTTCCATTGCTTCCTCCTCCCATCCCTTCCCCACCACCTAGTGGGGTGATGTGAATGATGGCCCTTGTGTCATTAGTTGTGCGATGTGATGTATGAGAGTGGGAGTCTGTGAGAGAGGCAGAGACTAATAGCGGTGGGGTGGACGCTTCGTGGCCCTGAGATCCAGAAGGTTAATGGCATCAGTGGGAGGGTGGCCCAGTTGGAGGGGCAGCACACTGCTCAATTCATCTGCTGTTGACGTTTTTCGTCTGCACGTGGCGTGTGTGTTTGTTTGTATGTGTGCGCGCGCTAACAAGGTGTGTTTTCTAGTTATCAAAGAGACAAACCTGCCCCACCCCCGTGCACATTTTTGAGTTTTTCTGTCAGTCATTTATCAACAATAAGGAGGCTGGAGCTGTGTATGATGGGGGGGTGGAGCTGCCTGTTTTGGATGGATACTGATGGACAAAACAAGGTGGATGGAGTCTGGAGTGAAGAGGCTTTGGAGTAAATGGGTTAATCGACTTGTCCTGTGCATCTCCTTTGTTTGTCAATAAGCCCAGTGGAGAGCCCTCTGAATAATTTATTATTCCTGCCACCCTTCTTCCTTTCTCTCCCTTTCCCTCCCTGGTGAACAAGTGTTTGTGATGACATCAGCGAGAGGTAAACAAGACAGCCCTTAGCTGTCCCTGTATTCATTCTGAAGGGAGGGAGGATGGATTATTGAATGCAGGCAAGTATAAGACTTTGCTTGTGTTGAAGATTTATTGCAATGTGAAAAACATATCGGTGGTATAACTTCATGTTTGTTGCTATTCCAAGAAAGCTGGATTAAAAGGGGTATGGGCAAAAACATGCGCACATATGCACATAGAAATATCCCCTACGTGAAAATGCTATTTGTGTCTGTTCACACAAACATGGTGTAATTGAGGCTCCTGTAGACGCTCAGTTTTCCCTGTGCTGCTGCAGAGCTGAGTGGTTGTCATGAAAGGGATCTGTGTGGCTGCCGGGAGGTAATTTGTTTTGACAGTGTCTCTTATGATGGCAAAAAGTGCAGGGTGGAGGTAATCACCCTTGCTTGCTGTCAATAAGTGATTTTAATTAGCGCAGCTCATTAAGCTGCCTCAGCAACATGCCCTGCTGACTGTGTTGTAGGTGTGGTGGGGGTTGCCTAGTTTTTTTTTACTACCTCTGTTCTCTGCTGTGGTCCCTGTTTATCGCTTGTGCCTGTCTACATTTTAATTTAGTCTCCCGCTTTGGAAAATCACAAGCAAAGTGAATTAAAGAGATAAATTAATCCCAAGGATTCACTGTGAAACCATCTTTCCTGTTCTGTTTGCCTGCTTGACTTTGCTTCACCTTCGGAAGCCATTTTGTGGTTATTGTGCTTTGCTTATCCAACTCCTCACTTGTTGAGTGAGTGAAGGAAAGAGGAAAAGGGGGCTTTATCAAGAAGATCATGTCTGTTTCCTCCAGGAAGAAGGTGAAAGAAGGACCAGGGGAAAAGAGAAACAGAGCTTGTGCAAATGAATAATTTATACAGGATTCCTGGAATTGTTTGCCAAGGTGATGATGGTCGATCTGTCTCAAAGCCAAAACAAACTAGGAGAACACACGCTCACACTCTCAAGAGAAGTTGATGAGGTTACTGAAGGGTGTGAGACAACCTTTATTTTGATAGTCGGGCTAGAAACGGTGGTAAAGTGGTGCGACAATTCTTCTTTGGGTGTATGCATGTTCTTAACAAATTGATGGCAGGAGTTCTCATGGGGGTGTCGGTATAAAGAAGCTGCAAAATTTAAACTAAAGCATTGAAAGATTGCCAATATAACTTGAGCTGTAATGAAATCAGTTGTAATCTGTTTGAAAACAGCTCATTTCCATATGTTTCATTGTAGAAAAGCATGTCACTTTTTTTTCATGGACTCAAAATAGACGTGCACATGCAAAATTGTCCTCATGCATTTGTAATGAACAAGTTACCTCTAAGTGCCTCTTTCTTTCTTGGTTCTGGCTGAGAAGATAATTCCCAAACAGCCATCTCTGCCTTCCATCATATGCCACTTGTTTTCCTCGCCAATTGAATGCTCATCAGAGACTCGACTCTCCACTTGGGGGCTAATGCCTGGAGCGACAAACAGCCAAACGGCTTTCAACACACCATTGACAGAGGGATGCAATGGAGAGAGCGAGCCTCTCAAGGCTCTGGTGCTACTAGACTAAGCTGAGTACCTGTAATTGTGGAGTTGCAGTGAAAAGCTTCTGCTGGCTCAAAGGCCTCTGTTTTCAGCAGCTTTAAGTGACAATAAACTCTTTCTGTCTCTGCTTCTGAAAGCACTGTGGAAAATGGTTTCTTCAAAACAAAGTGAGAGTCACTCTGAGTGCTGTGACTCATTGGATTTGTTATCTCATTTAAAAATATCTATCAGTTTTTCTTACTACAAATAGACTATACATCTGTTTGCTCAGTGAACTCTGGATGGAGTGTTGTCACTACAATGGGGGGCAAGACGTTCCTGCTTACAGCAGTAGTTTAGTCAGGGGGTTTCTGGTACATTTTTCAGGTTGTCATGTTTGTCTTGTTTGCTCTCATGTTCCCTAAAATTGTACCTAAGATATCACATTGTATGAAAATATGTGTTAAGAAAGGACGCAAAAAAAGTGCTTACCGTATTTTTCAGCCTATAAGTGGCGTTCTTTTGCATAATTTGCGTGCCCTGCGACTTATATGCTGAAGCAACTTATTTTTGTTTTCCCATATTTATAAACCAGTTTTTGACTGAAATATGACCGTTTTCATTCAATCTGACTGAAAATATTGAACACTACCTTTTTCAGCTGCTAGATGGCACTCTAGTAGTATGGCATGCCGTTGTATCATGTAATAAGTAAAAGTGGCTTTTAATGACAGTCGGCTTGCCGTAGCCTGCCACCTTCATCCAGCTCGCCTGGAGCAACCGTCAAATCAACTTCATTTCGCTGTGCCGCCCTGGCGAAATGCAGCTAGTTTGACCATTGAACTGCATTTATTAAGTAAAAGTTAAACTGAAACACACCTTTACTATAAAGTCCAGCAAGCAAAGAATTGTTTTTAGGTGGTTATCTTGTTAAATTTCGAAGAAATGTACAGCAAGTCCTCCCATGCATGCTCCTACTTCTGCGTATCGGCTTTTGAAATGCAGCTGATTTGACCGTCAAAGTGCATTTATTACGTAAAAGTTCAACTGAGACACACCTTTGCTATAATTTCTAGCAAACAAATAATTGTTTTAGGTGATAATCTTGTTAAATTCTTGTTAAAGTCCTCCTGTGCACGCTCCTGCGGCTGCCATTTGGCAGCCAATCTATTTTTGGCACAACACCGGTCCACGTTTCTGTGTTGTCAGTGGTGACGCATAATAGATGCGACTTATACATCGAAGCGACATATTTATGGATTTTTTCACTTTATTAGACATTTTTGGACTGATTTGACTTATAGGGCGGTACGACATGTACGGCAAAAAATACATTATGAATTTTTCATCCATATCTCCTAGACACTAGTTCTGTTTGGGGTTTATTCATTTTTCTCTATAGGTGCTGAAAATATTATTTTTTTTTTTATGTGGTACAATAAATTAACCATTCAACAAAAAAGGCAGGGTGCACCTACATTTTGTGAATGTTTCTGAACTCAAGCGGTGGCTCTGAAGTGGTGATTTTCCTTCCTGTGTGACTGGGGCCTTGTAATGTTGCTGTAATAGCAGAGTATCAGCATACAGCTGTTTCCACAAGCCCCATGTTGCTCCCCCTGCAGCTATTTCAGTGTAACACTGAAACACTCTTACCCTGTTGGTGTCATTGTGTACAACCCCCGCTAATGATGATGCTTTATGAGTCCCCGAAGAGATTCCCCACCCCTTCTTCATTTCAGCTTACCCCCAGGTGCAGCCCCTACCCGCCTCCCCATTTCCAGTTATCCCTCATTAATTTCCCGTGCCGATCAGATCGACAGGCCGAAAATTCACTTTAATGACCTGCTTCTGTGCTGCGCCTAATATGATTTTACAGGCTGTTCTGGTCAGAGCCCCTGTCCAATTTACATAACGATAAGCTGTGCCAGATAGCGTTGCCCCAGCAACAGAAGAGAGGGAGATGAGCGAATGAAAAAGTAGGAAGAGCACAAAGAAGAATAGTGGAGATTAGTACAAGGGGGTGTGAAGAAGCTTTTGGAGGGCGAGCAGAAAGCGTAGTGTGTTCGAGGTCAGATGGGGGTTGTGAGATGATTCCTGACAGGACAGCAACGGTCTGCCCCCTCCTCCTCTCCTTCGTTCTTTCCTTTCCTGTCTCCCCCTACAAAATAAAAGGACACCGAGGTTTAGCAGAAAGCTAATGACGCCTTCTGTTCCCCTCCCTCCCCTTTACACAGTCAAACAAGGTTAAGGGAGTAAATGAGTGGAATGCAGTAGCATATAAAATGGCGGGAAGGAACTTTTGAACACACACACCTGCTGGGCCTCCACCCCTAATCTCTTGGAATCAATTAGTTCACCTCCTCCTGTTCAGTCAAACCGCATTACCATAGTGTCAAATCGGAGAGCTTCGCTTTACCATTCATCACCCCTCACATGCTCTATCCAAGCTCTTTTATTCTGCTTTCCACTTTTGTGTTTCTCTTCTCGTTTTTTTTTAGCTTTGTAGAAAGTGCAGAATTTAAAAAAGGAAATTGGCTTGAGCAAAATGTCTTGGGACCTCCCAAGTGCAGTAGACGGTCAGTACAGCCCATCCATTTGTCTAAATGCAGCTCTGTAAAGTGCTCCATGAACATCGAGCCTTGCAGTATCATCTTACTCTGCCAGCTAATATTGTGTGGTCGATACCAAAGATCCTTCTGACGGATAAGGCAAGAGAGTTAACCTGTCTGCTGTAGCATGCCCTACACCCTTCTTTATGGGCCGTAATTATGAAGTATAGACCTCATTAGGCTCTCTCCAGCCAGATGGCATTAGCATATTTCAGCCTCCTAATGAAATAAAGGCCTGAGCTTAATGGAGGCAAGGGGGGAGGGGGGAGTGAATTTGTTCTTGGGCGGTCCCAATTTGGTTACAAATACATGGTTGACCCTGATGGACGTTGCAAACAATGTTTTATAGCTAATTTGCCAATTTATCTGCTGCTCCGAACATGCAGTGTACTGGGAAGATGCTGTTCTAATACTTTTTCTCCCCCTCCCCCCACAGACTGAAATTGCCAAACGCCTCAATGCAATTCTGGCTCAGATCATGCCATTCTTGTCACAAGAGGTGAGTGTCAACATAAATAAAACAATATATTAACAGATTAATTCATTTCTTTCACAATGCACATGCATATTGAAGAATATTGCAACAATAGTTGTTTGATTTTTCTTGTGTAATAATAAATCTTTATACATTTTGCAAGTCAAAAGTTGATTATAGATAAAGGAGATCCTAACAATGGAAAGTTAACCTTGTTTTTGTCACTCGGTTCTGTATCATTTTGATGTACAATTCTACATATCCATTGTGTATATGTTTTTATATTTAATTTTAAGGATTTAATGACGATATGCTTTCTTCGCAACTGAAGTCTCAGTTTATTATAAACCTGAGAACTGGCAAAGGCTGAGAAGTTGTATTTGAATCGAATTTTATGCTTTTTCTTTCAAGACTAATTTTTGTGTTTGGTGTCACGCAGCATCAACAGCAGGTAGCTCAGGCTGTTGAACGAGCCAAGCAGGTGACAATGACTGAGTTGAATGCTATCATCGGGGTACGTGGACTTCCCAATCTGCCTCTGACTGTGTGTATACCCCCTCTTCTTCTTTCATTTGACCTGACAGGGACTAAACTGCATGCACTGAAGAGGACTATCACTTTGATACATGATACAGGCTCTACAATATCTTTAATGTTGCTTTGAACAAAAAATGTAGTTCACTGTGTTGATCAGCAGACTTTCAATCCTCCTGTTTTGTAGTATTTGAATCTTCAAGTTGAATATAAACTAGTAAAGCCGAGGCCTCTTCGTGTGTGCAGACTTGTCTCTGTCTCCAGTTGTTGAAGTTTTCTTTAATTCAGTGTTTGCAATGTCTGTCTATATGGTGTTCACAACTGTGTATTTTCTCATTGGTGTTTAATTATGACCTATTAGGGGTGCAAACGTCTGTCTGGTGATTCAATGCCAATTTTTGGTGTCACGATTCGATTTAGAAACGATTTTTCTATTAAAATGTTCAGAAATTTTGTTTAGATTATGTAATTGGCAAGATTAAACAACATTGTAAACAAATAGAAAATTTATTTAAAACAATAATTTTAGGTTCTTTACTGTATCAACTCTTTTTGCATCATTTCATATTTATACCAAAAATAGGAACAAATACAGGAGTGCATACAATTCTGTAACTTAAATTACCAGTGTTAGGTTAGCTTAGCTACCTTGACTTTTAAAAAAAATAAAAATCTAGGAACAAATGATTCATCCATCCTTTATCTTTACACTTCTTCCTTTTTGGGTCAAGGGTGTCACTGGTGCCCATATCCAGCTATCACTGTGCGAGAGGCAGGGGACACCTGGACAGGTCTCAAGTCCATCACAGACAAATAATTCAAAATATATAAATACAAAAGTAAACAAAGACTTCAGTCTACCAAAGTGCATTAACCTTTAACTCAAAATAAAATACAGACTTTACAGTTCTTGGGGAATTATTGGTAGCTGGAAGTTTGTTGCTCCAGAGTTTCATGATCAGCTGTTTTCCCTTTTCATCGTCCTTCTGCACATTTGTCGTATTTCCAAAATACTTTACCACAATTTAATTTTACCGGTATACTTCTTGCAAACAACCATGCTCTGGTCAAGCTCAGTCTTCCCCCAGAACATTGTAGAATCCAAAATGACTTTTCACAGACTTTTAACAATGAAGGAGAGGGTTAAATCCTGCTGTCTCCCTCCTCCATGCTAGCAGACTCCATTCAGATAAAGGCAGCTGGCTAACTAGCTTTCTGTACGGTGGCCTACACGGCCAAATTCTACTGTGACGGGTGGACACGAAATTCAATATGAAGTACGCTCGGGAGTAGCAGCGGAAAAAAACAAACAAACTTAAACACGTTTTAAAATGGATTTTTGGATATCTAATGGATATCTATAAAATGGATAAAATGGATATCTATTCAGAATTACCAGGACAAGGAATCTAGATTTTTTTTTTAATGAATCTTTTTTTTTTTTCTGCACCCGTATGACTTATCAGTGCACACAGGGTGCTGATCAGAAGTGAGGCTCTTCTCTGATTTCTCTTGTACAGAGTCACAGAATGCCTAATTTAAAGCAGCCCAGTCCAGACAGATCAGATTGTATGTTTTCTCAGATTTCACTACAGTTGCACTTTAATTACATAAAAGGTTTTGGCCAGCAGACTTATCGCCACCTCTGGCTCAATAGCAGGAGGCCTGAAGTGGTCAGGCTGGGACAAGCTGTGCGATTGTAATAGAGATAACCACAGTGGGAATCTTGCAGTAACTGAACCTTTGTAATGCGCAGGTGATTAAAGTTTAGGCTAACAGGAAAATCTCCTTTTGTTCAAACCTGCATGTGTTTACTCATTATTCCTTGATGGTTATCATGGCTGCTAGAGTCATGTGATGTTATTAACTAGCTACTATTGTTAAGCATTGTTGCTTTCTGACCCAGTAAAACCACAGGTTAGTGATAATGTATCTGTTTAAAAGTCAGCCCAATGTTTTTTACTCTGTTTTTTACTATCTGTTGTATTGATTGGAGGCTTGTTCACTTAAAATTCCTGAAATTGTTGACTTAAAACACAAGTCATTAGCTATGTTTACATGGACATAAGTAATCGGATCAAACGGTCGTTCGGAATAAAAACACATCATGTAAACGCCCCATTCGGGTTATATTTTGTTTATTCAGCGTGATCCGAAATAGTTTATAATCAGAACGAAACGGGTGGTTTACGCCAATTCGTAACCCGAAAGGTGCGCATGTAAATGCTTGATCTGTTCATTTTTTTTTTCTAATTGTGAAAAACTGATCTGATTGCATATGTGCGACCTATGCCATTTCCGCCTGGCTAATGCTAATAATATTAACATGTCGAGGAAGCAAAACTGGTCGGTGAGCGACAACATTTCTACTAGAATCATCGAAAGAGCTCAAAATGATCTGTATTACCTGTAGCTCAGTCAGGGAGAGCAGTAACGTCTCCATCTTCATTAAAACCTGTTGCGGGTCCATTTTAGGTGCTCAGGTTTTGTTTACGTTCATCCCGGAAGTAAACCGGAAGTAAAACTTCTTCTGTGTTTTTTTTTTTTTTAGGAGAGTTTACCACTCTGCGTATGTCAGTACTTCTGTTCAGAACAAAGCCCGCTGCATGTAAACGCTCGTCATGAACAGATTGTGCCCATGTAAACAATACATTTGAATTATTTAATCTGAAAACATTTCAATCTGGTCAAAAAAATTTGCGCATGTAAACATAGCTAAAGTCTGTTGTAAATAAGCCTATTCTACTGGAATGCTTAGTAATTCAGATGCAGTAATGCATTTCATGTGAGTTTAGACCTTTAGGGTTGACAGGTTCTGCAGCAATTCAGACTTTAGTGGAGGGGGTACACAAAAAGCTGTAATCAACACTTAGTTTCTACAATACTAGGCAAAACAGTCAACTCTGGACAAATAAATATTGTAGTGATTTACTCTACTTGTCTTGAAGCCTAAAAGCCCACACTTTTGATTGTCCCTCTTTTATCAGAGGTTAATCAGTGATTATCTTGTCCCTGTGGTCATGAATCAAATCTAATGAAGGGCACATGCCCAAATTTAATCAAAGGAAAAAAGGCAGGAGCACAACCCTCAATTTTTAAGGTAATTGCTTACCATTTCCTCTTTTTTCCACTCAGCTAAGTGTCAACGGTCCTTCCTGACCCTGCCTTCACTTGGTTGGGCAGTGGCAAGACTGAGAACGGGCTCAGAGAGAAAGAAACAGGCTGTAATTGTTTGAGCAATAAAGTCTTCGGTGATCAGTTTTCACATCTACATAGTGAGGGTGTGGGCAACTCTGCTGTGGCATCTCATTTGAGCCTCAGAGACATTCAGAAAGCATCAGGTAGCTTTCTACAGCAACTAGATCAGGGGCAAGATTTGCATTTTTTTCACAACACATTTTATAGACAAAAACTGAGTTCAAAATGTTTAATAGTGTCAGTCTGAATGCACTGATGAGTGAAGCCTTTAGGTTCTTTATTTATTTGAAATTTACCAAAAGATCCCACATAAAATATTCAACATGAAGTGTTGATACTGTGCATCTGTAGGAGTATCCACTTATTATAGGCCAGATTGCCAACTCTTAACTGCTAGCACCACAACATGGAATCTATTAGAAATTCCTGTTGATGTGAGACAATGTTCAGAAACTGTCCACAGTAAATTAGTTTAAAAATTCACTTATTTTAAGGCAATGCTTTGCTCTTTGAAAGTAAATAAAACAGCAAAGTCATAAACTGGGAGCTGCATACTGTAAACAGAGAAAGAGTTGTTCCATTTTCTACCATGTTTACATAGTCCTAGCCAGAGGCAACATGGTGGAGTTATATTTGACAAGTGTCAAAGGTGCTGCTCGGTCCATCCGCTTACCTTTATTTCCATAATTTCAACATTAGGCTAGATTGTAGGTAGATACTGGTTAATGTGTCAGCTGCAGGTGGTATCCTGCCCATCATGTAAATGTTAATCTGTGGCACATGACACCTCTACACCTGGCTGTTTTGAACATCACTCTGGTTCATTTGCTTACCACGATGTCTGCCTTTGCATGTTTTATTAGTGCGTGCACACTTTGTTACAAAACAGGTTTTTGACACATTTTATAGGTGCCATTTTTATATAAAAATGCTTGACTGATAAATAAAACAAATACATTTAGATTGATAATTTGACAAACGCAATTAGACTTTGTCAGCATCTCAGATTAGGGAAACGGACAGGCTGAAATTTCAATTGAACTGCTTAATTATTTAATCTGAATCCACCAAGGTTTGTGTAAATAAAGTGATGGATGAGAGAAAAGAAATGACGGAAGTTCCTAATTATCAATTTCCCATCAGCCTGGAGTTCATGTTGGTGATGTTAGCTGCTGCAATTTGACCTAAACTCAGTCTTTACTGAAATGTTTTGAATGAGTACCATTTTGGCAAAATATTAAACTTTAAATGATACATTTTTAGAAAATGAGTACCACAATGCATTTCCTCACATTTATTTTTAAAGTGAATATAGTAATGTTGAGTTTTCTTTGAAAAAGTGTTGAATTTAAGCCCCCAGTATACTCCCGCGTACATCCATACGCGGAGGTACGCACGTACGTACGCGGAGGTACGCACGTACCCCACAGGGCATGTCCGTGCAAAGCTCAATTTTTACGACCGCCTACGAGTACGCGGTGTCGCACAATAAACTGCCCAGCGACGGACTGTTTTGTATGCGACACCAATGTATTAAATTCCCCTTCTTCATCCTTGATCTGGCCTTTTCTTTTGTTTTTTTGCCAAGAGGCAGTGATCTCTTCCTCTTCCGTTGATGCCATGACTGAAATGGTGAGAAATGAAGGAATTTGTTACGAGCGAATTAAACTCAGGTCCACCGTGGCTGCGGGAGGGTCTGGAGATTTCCTGGTGGGCTGGTCTGATGTGTGGGCTGCAGAGCCAGCACTCCCTGTTTTTTTAATTTATTTTTTAGATCTTTTT